GTTATTTACATTTACATTATATTTAAATTTTGTAATTTAGCAGATGCTTTTATCCAAAGCGACTTACAAATGAGGACAATAGAAGCAATCAAAACCAACAAAAGAGCAATAATATGCAAGTGCTATATTAGTATATTATTATAGTGTTATATTTCAATTTCACAAAGAAATGTGCAGCATTTTGTCCAAGCAATTGTGGTAATACACGGCAAATACTCCTATATTCTTAACTACGCCACTCCAATTTTATTTGGGTAGGAGATCCCAGGTCATATAAGGGGTTTTCCCGCATGGCTATTCAAATAAAAGAATATCCTTAAGACAGAATTACTATAGACGCAGTTTCAATGTTATTAATTAAGTAGTTTCACTTCCAAGCTGGCTAAGTTTACTCATGCAAGATGGAGACACAAATAACTGCAGAGGATAATATCACTCTCAAAGAAAATAAAAATGAAATTAACACCAAAATAATTGATTAATACAATAAACCCTAAAAAACTAACATCAATTCTCATACATAGCACCTCAAAGCATGAAATACAAAATAACCACAGCACACATGTGAATGATGGTGAATATACTTCCTCCCTATATAGTTACAATGAGTAAGCTGCCAGTAATGGCCTCATTGGCATGTAAAATAAACGGACCAAACGATAACCAATAGTCATGGGCCAAAAAGTAAAAGGAAACAAAATAAACAATTCACAGAAACAAAGAAAATACAATTTCAAGGCAGGGAAAACAGTGATCAATTGAGCTGGACCAAAACAACTCTAAAAAGAGAAAACATTAAACAAAACACAATTTGTTAACCCATGTTATGCAGTCCAACCTCACTCAGGACAGCTCATTTAAATTACACAATATAAACAGAAAAACAAACATTACAATTTCAAAAAGAAACCACTATCTATAAATTTATTAGTCAACAATATTAAAATGCTAGGTATACTAGCCTCACAATAACATTTAAAATAAATAAATTCGAGACTTTAGCTGATCACACACCATTAAAGGGCTACAATCATCACCATATACTTCCTAGAAAAGAAATGACTCTTTTAACACTCTTGTATAAAAGGGTGTCAGCTTAGTGTGTACACAGGTATACTGTTCATCGTTTTATACCATAAAACGCCCTACCATAGATCGTCAATGCTCCCGTGTATGGCGTTATTTTAATGACAAATGTCGAGAGCGCATTATTGTAGCGCGAAAGCACATACCTCCTAGTAGCTTGGCTACACAATAATAACAGGACACATTTAATGTATAATTTGTCTTAAATCTCATTTTGTAAAAAATAAAATCGTGAATCGAATCGAATCGTGAAATCTAAATCATGAATCGAATCGTGAGTTGAGTGAATCGTTACATCCCTATGCAGAACCTGTGCAAGCATGGCTTTTAATGGTAGGCCTATGTTTTTTGTTTGTTGTTGTCTCATACTTTTAGATACGCTGGTATTTGTAAATGCTACTGCTTATGTTAGCTTTTAATATACGGTTTTATCCTGATTAAGACAGAATCACGATTCATATATGAAGAGATTTTTACATGCACCTCTAGTTTTCTCTTCCTCTTCTCTAAAGCAGCGCAGCATGGCCTCGCACCCTTTGTTGCCTTTTCCCGAGGGCGGGGTTTATCTGGGTTAGTTATGTCACGAACCCGGGAAGTAACTCGTTGTAGTCCCTACCAGCCGTTTTTGTAGGCATTAAACTGCCAGAATTTTAAAAGAGGATATCTCTGTATGCATTGAACTTTCAGCTTCGTAACTTTGCAGATATTGTTTATGCTTAAACAGAAACATTAGACACTAATGTTAAAAAAGTGAAATCGCAATGAACCACCCCTTTAACAAGAACACATTCTTTGAGCTGAAAACCCTCACACATGCCACACATTCTTCTCATAGTCAATTCAAACCATTTCAATAATCTTCAAAATGAAGAACTATGAAGAGCATCTCAGGGCCATATTTAATATCCAAATTGTTGTTTTTTCTCAGTGGCACACATTGGTCAGTGCTTGAGTCACTAGATTAAACTAAAAATGTATTAAATAAATAAAGTAATTAACCCTTTGTCCCGCAAAACCTGCACTGTGGTTTATTCATCCCAGAAAATTTTAAAGAAAACAAAAACAGCAAAAAGCTTGTGACTTTGATGCAGTGAGTAGAAGCAGACTCTATTTGTTCATTTGATTCCAGAAAGCTCCTCACTCATGAGATGCTCATAGCTGCCCTTACGTCCATCGCTTTGCCTCTGAGGTCAATGCGTAATTCCCAAAAGCACATTCAGGGTTTGGAATGAATCCAAACTGCCTGTGAGGCCCTGAGCAAGACAACAGCCATGTACGACTTTACCAGTGTCTGCTGTGGGTCAGCATCTGGGGTTCGGTTGGTATGGAGACACAACTGACTATCAAGAATCTGCATTAACTGAGCGGAAAAAGAGCAGAGCATGACCCAGCCACAGGGATGGTTTAGGATTAGAAAGTGTTGCCATATACGTAAGCATGGACGCAAATGCAAATAACAAACACACACACACACACACACACACACACACACACACAAACTCACAAATCAGTCTATAAACACAAAATCACAGGCACACACAGAAGAGTTTTTCAAGTCTACAGTATTGCTTTATACTGGAAAAATAAAATAAAAATAAAAGTTCCCCTTGGGGAAATTTAGGGTGCTCGGCTCGCTGATCCAAAGATAAGTAAATTTAAAAAAAAATATGCCCAAACAACAAGGAAATGTTGTTTGATGTTTTTAACATTAAAGTAATTAGCAGTCTCCCTAAATAGTTCCAATTATTTTTAATTATTTATTCAAAAACAAAAAAATAAAAAATGTTCTATTCATTCATGTCGTAAGACACCAAGTGCTCAGGAAATGAGGATAGGTGAGAGAGAAACTGAGAGACTGAGTGAAAAGAGACAAAGAAGGGATGGGGTGAGGGGTGTCCATTTGTCTTCAGACAAGGAGGGAGGTGCCAGATTCTGGGAGGTTTGGATACTCTATTGATGCCCCCAAAAAGCATCCACCATCCAGCCCCCCTTTCCCCCATTTTTTTTCTTTATCCCTCGATTCCATCCTTTATTTCTCCCCCCTGCTTTCTTATCCTTCCACAAGCCTCTCTCACTCGCAGTCCTGAAGCAACACTCAGCTCGGTAAGTAAAAAAGCACTGAGAGAAACACTAAATACGAAACTTTACAGCTGTTTTTTAGAATGCAGGTGGTTAGGGGCATAAAAAGGAGGGCAAACGCATTATATATGTGCAATTTTTATTTATGAAGATGATGATCAGGCTGTTGTTAAATTAAACTGATGTACTGTATACATACTCATGCAGATCTATTCAAATTTAAAAAGAACAAAATTATAATTAAATAAATTATAAAAATGAATTCATCATTTTAATTTTGTAATTAAATAATTGTTTATTATTTAATAATCAAGTATGCAGTCTGCATCATGTCAGTGTTATTTTAGTAGCACTGAGATACTATTATAACTTTTATTAATATTTTAGTTTTTATTTTTATATTTTCATTTTGTGTTTTTGTAATTTTTTTTTTTGATTGTTTGTTTTTTTTATACCTGGATAGTTTTTACTAAATTTTATTTCATTTTTATTTCAGTTATTTTAGAACAGTTAAACTAAATGAAAATGAGAAATGTTATCTGGGCAACTATCTGAAATAAAAAAAAAAAAAGTTTAGTTTTTTCATATTTTAGTTGTTTTATTATAGTTAAGATTTACGTGATTTCAATTCAAGTAACATGTTTTTATGGTTTTAGTTTTAATTATAATAACCCTGCGTCATAGTATTTTTTCCCCTCTCTGTTCGGCAGGTGCTGTGATTTTGTCTCCATTCTGAGGGTGCTGTGAGTACCCTGAACCTGGGATTTCTTCCATTCTTGAGCCTGCATTCACACGGCCATGCGAGGGCGGAGTCTACCCTTCATCTTTTCCCTCCTCTTCCTCGTCCTGTCATTCTCTGAGGCAAAAAAGAAGTCCAAGCAGCCATCAGATACAGTGACTGGATCAGACAGTACGGTGGTAAATCCCTCGCTGGGGTCAGGTCAACTGAGCACTAAGGATGGGCACCGCTGCACCTGGGAGACGCTAGAGAGAGGAGCTAACATCCTGCTCCAGGTGAGCTGCACCGCCCCGAGTGAGGAGGGGCTCGGACCTCACTACACGTGCCAGTTTGCTGGAAAACCTCAGGAATGCTCTGTCTACAGCACCCAGTTCTCCCAGTACTGGAAACAGGTGGTGAGCAAACTGAAGAAGCGAAAGAATGCTTGCCAGGGGGAGAAAGTCCTGAAAACACGACTGTGTAAGAAAGCGCCCAGCGCATCTCACATGAAACTCACGGAGAGAAGCGGAGAAGAGACGACCACGCACATGAGCAAGGGAATGTCAGAAGAGAGCAAATGGAAAACGGAGGCACCCACAAGGAAAGTAAAAGAAGTGCAGAAAGAGAAGGAAGAGGAGGTGAAGAAAGAAGAGGATGAGGGGTTCGGAGAAGTAGTGAATGATGGATTTTTAGACATGGAGCCCGCTGTGAGCTACTGCGGAGAGGGATGGCATTCTGTCTGCAACTTCTTTGTCAAGTTTTTTGATGGATAAAAAAGGGAAATATCTGCCATCAATGCTTTTTCGGACCCAGTGGAGGATAAGAATGTTGTTGCATGTGAAAATGACGCATGGAATGACGACTTTGCCGGGTGTCAAAAATATGACTTAGCGGAAGTTCACCATCTAGTCTGCACCCTGAAAACATCATGGATAAAAAAATTCTGTTGTGAAGAGGAAGACAAATAGACATAGAGAAAGTAGTGTAGTTTTTGTATAATATTTAACAATCACACTAATCACATTAAATACAGTCTTAAACAATTAATTACTTGTGTATATTTTAACTAAACCTGATTAAACTTTTTGTAGATATGAATAATTGTATTACATGACCTTTGACATTTTACTCATTATGAAAACTGTTGTATGATTATTGCAAATAATATTCAGCTCAATAAAAGACCAATTTAATGAATTAAAAATGCATATATTTTAAAAGGAAAATGTTATAGATATATGACAGAAAATAATTTCATCATTCATCACTTATAGATCGCAGTGCTTAACACAGCTGAATGACAAGATTTAAAGTCCTTCAGATCTCACACAAGATGAATAAAAGAACCTTGCACTTTCATTAACTATTTATATTGTGTATTCACGTTTATATATATGTGTATTTAGGTGTTTGTCAGTGAGTATGTTGTATTCAGACAGGCTCCGTTGTGCACTCAGCATCAGTAGTCAGCTTGACATATCAGTGGTCTAAAACGACGGTCACAGAAAAAATCTAATCGATGTTCAAATTGATGAAATGTGCCATTTAAGTGGCTTTCACCTTCCCCCTGATGAGCCAACTGGAGAAGAAGAGGAAAATACTGTGGGGAGAAAATGCCTCTTTTGTTCAGGCTTTTCTGTAGTTTCACAACTGCCTACAGCGACACATTTAGTAAGCAAGCTGTGCAGCTAAATAGTTGGACAAAGAGGCGAGATTCAGAGTCATCTGTTGAAGGCTTAACTCGCTGCATAAACATTCTGAGTCAGCCAAGCAAGCAGAGATAGATTACAATATTATGCTCATAGTCACAAATGGATTTCGTCAATAGACTCAGTGGCAGGGTTAATACAGCAGATTCATCTTTTCACCTCAATGTTGGAAAAACTATATCACATAGATGTCTAAAGCCCTCTGGAGTGCAGATCTTTTGTAAGGAATGGACTCCTACTTTGCTTTTTTAAATTCAACTCACCTGCAAAAGTGACTTTCATGTGTGCCAAACTGGTATCTGGCATAAACATGATCTGATCACCCAGAAGAACACAATTTTCCATCTTTGCTCCTAGGACCAATCATTTTTTGAGACAATCGCCAAATGTGACTTTTCATGCTGTCCTGGATGATGCTTAATATATAGTCACAATGCATCGATTACAAGTCTTGAAACATGGATTTTTGAATTATAATTTTGTTTGTTTTGGTCAAGAATCAATTTAAAATTCTAAAAATCAGATGAACTGTGATTCAGCGAAGTAGCTATTGTTCAATAGTATAAAACACACACACACACACACACACACACACACACACACACACACACACACACAAAATTAAATTATTGGAGACATCCAAAGTGTGACATTGTTTTAACAATGCACCTAAAAAAACTAATTAAGTCATTAATCAAAATTGAAAAGAATCTGATCAAATCTTATTGTTAATTGTATCGAATGGTTCTGAATTTGCAAAAATCATTTCTGAATCGACTCAAAACCTATGAATCATGAATTGTGCTCTGAACTAGCTGCAAAGAAGTGAATTTACTGTCAAGGCCAACACGATAGGCATGTTTACAAAACGACTTTTCATCTATTGTCTTTTCTCACTACACAAATTGCTGTCTCACCAAGAGAAAAAATAACTAATATTTCTTTAAAAGAACTAATTACCATTTTTTCTTATCTATGTAAAAGTGCTAAATATTTGGCAGGGTGCAGCAGATGATGTAGTTGTGTATGTGTGTGTTTGTGTCTTTGCCTCTGCAGGGGGTTTGGACAAATTTGTTGGAGATGGACGCTTATTGGTAAACAATTATGGGTTGATCTCATGTGTAAATGGTAAATAACTTTAAATTCCACAATATTAATCAGCTTTGAGTCTTCAGTTGTAAACAAACATTATGTATGTGAGAGGGATGCCTGAGTCAAAAGCTTTAAAGTCTTCTATAATCAGTGGTTTAGTGCAGGGTATATGCAGGTATACGGCGTATACCCACTTCTAAATCCCCTCTGATGCACATCTTTCAGTAGTGTCCTGCATTAGCCAAATCATGACAGTCCAGCACATGGGTAGCTAATCCAATTGCATGTGAATAAACCAGAGGGCGCGCCGCTCTCATGCAGAAAGTCCAAAATGGACTCATAGAAGTAATAACTTTTTTTTAAATGGAATAACTTATGACGTGCAGGAAATCCCTAATATGGATAAAGCATAGACTGGGATAAAGGCATCCAGCTATCGCTGTAGCCAAAACAATCTTGGCAGAAGCCAAACTGAATAAGTCATCTGTTTTTCAAGTAAAAAAAAGCATCTGAATAATGCAGTGCAAACTGACTTGCCATTTATTACAATTGGCTATAGAAACTATAAAATATATATTCTGCCTTATTCTGTTATAAAAATGGAAAAAGTGTTTGTAGTATATAAACGAATCATAATACTGTCATTAGGAAAATATAGGAAAAATATTATAGAATACAAATGATTGGTTATTGTCCAGTAGTGTATTTGATTTCTCAGCCAATTAAAAGTAAGAGAAATTAAAAAAAAAAAAATTATAATAATAAAAAAACCTGTCAGAAAAAAAGTATAATTATATTTGACATTTCCGTCCCCCTCACTTCTGAAATGATGGCTACGCCCCTGTATCAGGGCTCGAAATTACCATTTGCCATTCACTGTATGTCATGGGAGAAACAGTCAGTCACACATAGGAGTAGACGTTGTACAATCCTGGATAATTTAAAAATCATGAATTTTTTGTTTCAAATAGAGATCATGATTCTCCCACGATTCTGAACAGACAACTAAACAAAACAGCATGTAATTTACTAGAGGTTCTGACAAAATGTTAATTGCTGCAGTCTATTTAAATGTTTATATATATATATATATATTTATTTATTTATTTATTTATTGCAAAATCTGCACCTCTTCTGTGGTTAATATTAATTTCATAATGATCTTTACCCTGTGAAGTCAAGCAGCAGAATTTAAGTGCAAATACTAGCCCATTTTGTGGTGAACTAAATATGCATTCATCTTTTGCTGGGCAGCTTTAAAAAAAACTTTTTTTTAATAAATAAAAAAATTAATTTTTTAAAAATGAAATAGATAGATAGATAGATAGATAGATAGATAGATAGATAAAGAGTACCCACTTCAGGCACCACTACACGACCACTGCCTAATCCTCTTTTTAGATTCATAGAGCTTTGAGTTTGGATTAAACCATGTATTAGCCGTGTTTGTTTTGTTCATTTTCTGCATGCAGAGAATACACAACACTTTGGATTGGTTAAAAGTGGCCATCAAACTCTCTCCAGGGAAAAGAGAGGAGCGGAACTACTAGCCTTGTTCACACTGCTAGCGATGGAAGACTGGCAACTGGCGATGTAAAGGCAGCTTAACTTAACTATATTTGTCAATAGCGTGACAGTTTTCATAGTAGTAAAAATTCTACAGGAACAAGCTAAATTTTCCATCCAATATAGCTGTGCAGAGCGGATACTCTCCAAAATGGCGCTACGGTGACACGGAGGAGATGAATTGTTGAATAAAGTCTTTTTTTTTTTTTCTTTTGCGCACAAAAAGTATTCTCGTAGATTTGTACGATTACGGTTGAACCTCTGATGTCACATGGATTATTTTACCGATCTCCTTGCTACGTTTCTGGACATTGATCGTGTAAGGACCCTTGCTGTCTATGGGAGGGTCAGAGAGCTCTCAGATTCCAGACGCCGTGTTTGGAGACAGAATCTCAATGAGCTGTACATCTTCAGCCCAGTCTATCAAACGAATACACACTCAAACACACACACACTGGTTTTCTTACACAGACACATCACTTACTAAACAGACTGGCTCTTAGTCTGTGCACATAAATCAAGTGTGTAAAACAGGCATTCAGCCAGATGCCCCATTTAAGGCCCCCTTTCCCATCCCGATCTACAGGGAAACAACACCAGCCTCCCCAAAACCAAACTGGGACCCCTGAGAATCACACAAAGGGGCTCAAGATGCTTCCCACATTGGAACAGTTTTGTACAAAGTGGAGAAGTGACCCATTCGGATACCCTTGCAATGTTCTATTCTCCATCCTGGCCTTATGCCACATTCACCCTCTTGAGCCTTACACTGATCCAGCGGAAAACTGACACAGGACACACAGAATTAGTTCTGACATAGTAGAGGTTGGAAGCTGTGCCATGTGGAAACACAGGGCTCATGGGTAATTTGGCCAATAAGAAAATAATAAGACACCAGTGACTGTTTGTGAAGTGTTAATTTGTTCACGGTATCAGAATTTCTGCTGCCTCATGGAGTTCAGCTTTAAAAAAGCAGAGAAAAAAACTTTACAAAGATTAAAACACACAAAAAAGTTTTTTGCACGCTCGGCATCTTGGCACACGTCACCAAATTGCTTCATTAGTGGAAGCAGCAATATATTGAAAACCTGTACACACTAACAACTGCAACTCAGACATTTGTACAGAAGGACTGGTCATTGAGTGTGATTAAATGCCTGTGAACTCTGATCAGAACAACAGCTGGATGAGCGATATTAATGCGATATTAATGCAGCTCTCCAAGCCTGAGACCTGGGCTGCGTTCAGCCCTGACAAAAATGGTGCAAAACGTTTTTTAAACGGAAACGGAAACATTCTTTGTGTTCTTTTTGAAGAATTTTCAGAGCCTGATGAAATCGGTATAAATACGTGTTTAATACTGCAAAATACGCTCGATGGTACAGTCATTACCCTTGCCGTCCAGAATAAAAGAGAACATCCCAATCAAATGAGATTTGTGGAAACTGTGGTTCCTAATTATTGTGATCCAACATTTGCCTCGCATTTCAGGATGAAAAGACAAACATTTCAGGTGAAGGATAATCCACTTCTTACCTCCGAGACTGTGTTATGACCTATATGACCTTATTATTTTTATTGTGAGTATTATGCTTATCGGTTTACATACATGTTGCTGCTGATTGGGCTGACATTTTTGACACACTCACCAAACAAGAGAAAACGCATCTGAAACCCCGTTGCATACCGTTTCCAGGAAACATGTCGATCAAACCGGAAACCGTAGCAAAACGGTGCACACCGGTTTGAGCTTGAACATGCCCCTGCAGTGCTGTTACTGGGACAGTCGACCTATTGGCTAGCTATTGCAAGTTAACACAATTTTAAAGGGAAAAAAATTGAAGAAAATCTCATCACTTAATTTATTGGGGAAAAACATATTTATCTAGAATGTAATTATTTAATTATTAATTTGAAGTAATTAAATAAATAAATTAAATACATACATTATTAAAGGTGACATATCATAAAAATTTGACTTTTCCAGGTTTTAAGTGCTATAATCAGGTCCCTGGTGCATCTACCAACCAAGGAAACGTGAAAAAGATTAACCTAGTAACTTTGTTTTGGTAAGCCTTTTTCTGGTCAGATTTAGCTCCCATGGTGACATGGCAAAGGGATCTCATTATAATATTACCGTCCCTTAATCTTTAAGTTTACACCAACGGTGCCGTCATTTTGATTTTGCAAGCGACAACGGTGTACCAGCTCGAATGCCACAACGAAAGTTTGAGCAAAGCATGCTAACTGTTCTGTCATTGGCTGCGCAGAACACTGTTTAGAGTCCCAGCCTCAGAGGAGACAAGAGAGCAGTGGAATTATTGATTTATTTACTGTATATTATGCTGCTGCCACACAGATCATATATAAACGTGATTTCTTTCCCAGCTTTTTACCTTCACAGACATAACCTACTGTTTTTGTAACTTATGTGTGCTTTTAACATAAACTTGTGTGTATTTGACAGTTTAAGTGCAATAAGACATGAAAGAACTTAGTTTAGTACTCACCGCTTTCTGCGCGTGTGCTTCGGATGTGTGTGCTCAGAAAACCATATATCAGAAGTTTTAACTAATACAGTTTAAAATGCATGATTTCAGCGGTATAGACATGATAATCAAAATATTTTTTTAGCAGAGTATCTGAGGCACCAGCTGTAAAGGCACAGCCCTTTTCTCGAAAAGGGGGCAGGGAGCAGCAGCTCATTTGCATTTAAAGAGACATGCACGAAAACAGTGTGTTTCTTCCTCCAGTCAAAATAGGCATTTTCAAAATGATGTAATACATTATCTGTGGGGTATTTTGAGCTGAAACTTTAGAACATGCCCCTGCAGTGCTGTTACTGGGACAGTCGACCTATTGGCTAGCTATTGCAAGTTAACACAATTTTAAAGGGAAAAAAATTGAAGAAAATCTCATCACTTAATTTATTGGGGAAAAACATATTTATCTAGAATGTAATTATTTAATTATTAATTTGAAGTAATTAAATAAATAAATTAAATACATACATTATTAAAGGTGACATATCATAAAAATTTGACTTTTCCAGGTTTTAAGTGCTATAATCAGGTCCCTGGTGCATCTACCAACCAAGGAAACGTGAAAAAGTTGAACCCAATCACTTTGTTTAGGTAAGCCTTTTTCTGCAAGCGTCTGAGAAAATGAGCGCGTCTGATTTCTCATTATAATATTACCGCCCCTTAATCTGTAAATTTTTGTGGTGGAAATTTTGATTCGTTCACTAATTCGTTCAGTGACCATTTCTTCATATTACATAAATACGTCAGCAGGTGGCGAAAAAGAGTGTCTTATGTGTTATGTCAAGGAACGTATTTACTTATTACAAAAAACTGATTTGGCTTTATTAAAATGTGTGCATAATCTACTCATTAAATAAATTAAGTCTAAATAAATTGTTCAGATGACCAAAGCACAAGGTTTTCTTGCATAATTAACATTTTAATTGTTTGGTCAGACATTTAAACATTCATAAATCAGGGATTAAACGTTGAGTTATGTTCTGTATGCTAAATATGAATATATAAACAAGTTTATTTGCACAGTACCTAATAGGGGCGCTTTCTCCATTCACGAACGTAACAACACTAGTAAATTTACACCCACGGCGCCTCATTTTGATTTCGCGAGCGACAACTGTGTACCAGCTCTAATGCCATGGTGAACGTTTGAGCAAAACACGCTAACTGTCTGCACAGACGAGCACAGAACACTATTTAGAGTCCCAGCCTCAGAGGAGACAAGAGAGCAGTGGATTGATTTATTTAATGTATATTGCTGCTGCCACTCAGATCTAAAATAAACATGCGATTTATTTCCCAGCTGTTTACCTTCACATGAATTACATTTTGAATTATTTTTTATTTAAAAAAATAACAACAAAAAACTAACAAACACTAGCTTTCTATTTTTTCTATTCTATCTACTTGTTTTTCTTTGTGTGTGTGTGTGTGTATATGTGTGTGTG